TGGTACGTTCACCTGATCTTGGAATAATTAGTTTAGACAGAATAGCCAGAGAGATTCCACAGAAGTAGGATTACAAGAATATCAAATAAAATTACTTAAATAAAAGTAAAAAGTACAGTACAGTAAAACTACTTCTAAATTTATCCTACTTTATGTTACTACAGTAACTGTGTGAAATAAAACAGCAGTTATTACCCCCTCTGGCTACATTATGGAGGAGTGAAAGAAATGCACCTGCCTCCCCTCCACTGTCTCCACTATCAATGACCTGGACTTTATTTCTGCAGAAGAACTCAACCCAGCAGGCTTCAATTATTCAGTCAGGCAGCATAAAGGAGGCAGAGCTGAGGCCCTATGACACATGGGGGCCCCTGCTGGGAGCCAGCAGACCATGGAGGAGGTCCCTGATCAATAGAGGGATCATTAAAGTTCCAAATGTTTCCTTTCTCCTGTTTTTATGGCTTTATTTAGTAGTTTCTCTCTATGATATTCACTGCAGAGGGAGAGTTGACTTCCTGATCACAACTTTATCATGATAAACCAACAGAGAGTGAAACATGGCACCTACCCAGGCGGCTCCCAGCTGTGGCTCCCGCTCCGCTGCTGATCAGTGTCCGCTCTGACTGCGCTAAACTCGGTCACCGATGATGAAAACACGCAGAGGAACGCAGACAGGTGTCCGCCTCCCCGGAGCCTCCCGCCCCCACCGGCCCGCTGTGGGACAGGCTCCAGCAGCAGGAAGCGTTCCCTCCCACACACCCAGCCAGGCTGTGGGGGGAGTTTGGTTACATTATTATGAAAAGCAGAAAACACTTTTTATTACGGAAGAGGATTAGGGCCAGTGGAAAAAAAAAAAAGTTAACTGATTTTTAAATTTTATTTCAGTTTAGTATGGGATTCTTAGAAAAAAGTCAGAATTCTGACTTTTTTCTCAGGATTCTGACTTTTTTATTGTCAGAATTTTTAGGTTTAATTTCTGAATTGCGTTTCTGTTTTCTTTTTTGCCTCACATTTGCATTTATAAAATACGGAAGAGGATTAGGGCTACTGGAAAAAAAAAGTTAAATGATTTTTTTATTTTATTTCAGTTTAACATGGAGAAAAAAGTCAGAATTCTGAGATTAAAGTACAAATTCTGAGAAAAAAAGTCAGAATTCTGAGATCAAAGTCAGGATTCTGAGAAAAAAGTCAGAATTCCGAGAAAAAAGTCAGAATTCTGAGATTAAAGTACAAATTCTGAGAAAAAAGTCAGAATTCCGAGAAAAAAGTCAGAAT